TGTCAGTTTGATCGCCCAGCTGGACCTTGAGGATCTCTGTAGCTTTCATGTGTCCCGTGACAGCAGCCATGAACTCCACCAGCGCCGTTTTCCCACAGCCTATAGGACCCTCCAGCAGCACGGGCTTCTGGGACGCCACCGCCAGCGCCAGTCTCCTCAGATTACGACAGGTGGAGTCCACCAGAACCAGATCCTTCGTGTTCATCTGTGAACGGAGAGCAACATCAGAACCAAATGATCGGGAGAGAGATTTTTAATGTGACAAAATAAAGAGTGCAAACCTGTTCAGGGATTCTGGGAGCAATCCTGGGGAGGACGACACCACAGACGGCCACCACGTTCAAAGACAGATCCTCCGACACCACCTGACCCCTCGTGAACTTATTGGCCTTCTCCTGACGCCACACCGCAGAGCCCTGATTGGCTAACACCAGGGCCTTTTCTACCTCCAGCTGCTGAGTTTCCTCCAAAGCTCTAAAAGACAAAGAAATAGAAGTGAGAAAGAAACAGAAAAGAAACGTGCATGTTATGTTTTAGATGTTATCTACCGTTTTTCTAGTTTATCAACATCTGAAGCCGTTTCACATCTGCACTCCTAAAAATATCTAGATCATTTCAGGACGACTGCTCCAGATATTCACATATGCATCTCACAGTGGGAGACTATCCCTGTCCAACAGGAGGGGGATATTATAAATTCTTAAAGTAAATTTAAAAAGCCAAGACAGAACTTCACACATACAGCTCCTCCTGAACATATCATATATTCAAACAGAATATGTACAAAACCGTATCTCTAATGAAATACACTGAGAATACTCTGCTTTAGTCTCATTAGCGAAAGGTTTTGAGAGAACATTTTTAACCTAACAAAATGTACATGAACAATAGATACAGAAAATGAAAGGTACATACTTTATTTTCATGTGCAGGATCTCATCACTCGTCAGCACCTTCCTCAGAAAGATGGTTTTCTGATTATCTGTCATGTGAGAGACCAGCGCTAAACAATGGGCAGTGTACCTGTAAGAGATGATGAGTTAAAAAAAAACATGCATTTTATAGTTTTATTTATGGTAATTAAAGAGTTGAATCAGCTATGAGAAGCAGGTAACGTACCCTCGAACCATGACGTCGCTGGTGAGCAGCTGAGACACGCAGGAACTCCAGTCCCACAGCATCCGAAACTTGGCACAGTCGCTCTGAAGGAAACGCAGCGTGGCTCCCATGAGGTCGCGCAGCTTCATCCTCCTGGGGCCGTACTGAACGGCTGAGGCCTCCTCGCTGGTGAAGAAGAGTCTCTGAAACACTGGAGGGGCGTCATCGAAGTACCTCGCTGCAAACCTGACAAAGAGAAGAATTAAAGGTCACATATTATTCTCCTTTTAAACCAGTTTACGTAAGTCTCAGAGCTCCTCAAAACATGTGTGTGAAGTTTCTTGTTCCAAATCCACTCTGATCCTGTATTTGATCATGTCTATAAACCCCTCTATTTCAGCCCTGCTCAGAACAGGCTGTTTCTGTGTCTGTAACTTTAAATATGTAAATGAGCTGTGTCTGACCACGCCCCCTCTCTGGAAGGGGATGTAGCTGAGGCTTTCCTGCACCATGCTAGATTTTTTACGTGGAGAAAGTAGACTCAGAGGGCGATCTGGGGGAGGGGTTACTGCCCTTTGTGATGTCATGAAGGGAAAATTCCAAACGGCCTGTTTGAGCACAAATTTTCTGAAAATTGGAGTAGGCAAAAGACAGAGAGGATGGACTTTTGTCACAATTTGGGGGTTTGTAGACGGACTAAGGACATATTAGTGTTAAGAAAACAAGGTTAATTTCATTTCCTATAATATGTGATCTTTAATGAGTGAGTCCTGCACCCCTGTCTGTTCAAGAAATGATAGACCACTCCATAACTTTTGAGTTTGTCTCATACTAGGAAGTAAAATCAAGATAGCTATTTTTTGTATTTCTTTCGGCAAGAAATACAACAGGTCATTCATACCACAAGTTTCATTTGTGTGGTGCAACACCTTCAACCTCCACAGACATTAAATCACTTATCAACTAAAAATACAGAGGTCTGTATTAATCAGTTTGTTAGGATAGAAGGATATAAGTATTTACTGTGACACGAGGCAAACTGTAAAAACTTAAATATAAGTGGGTGACTTTTTAGAAGGGTCCTGACAACGGGACAGCACAGAGAGATATTAAGCAGAGAGACTTGGAGTGGCGATAAGCAGATGAGGGAAGTGAGCAAGGAAAGTCATCACTGTGAAAGCCCGTCCTGCTCAACTGGAAACGATAAAGATCTGCAATAGTTAATTTGTTAAAACAATTAAAATTAAAAAAATTACACCCCAAGAGCCCCCTTTTCAAGAGAGAATTCCTTACAGATTATAACCTCTCCGCCTTGGGGCACCGGTGGCCAAGTGGTTAGTGTGCGTGCCCCATGTACAGAGGCTTAAGTCCTCCAAGCGGGCAGCCCGAGTTCAAATCCAACCTGTTGCTCCTTACCAGCTTGACATTCTCTCTGTGTCCCTGATTTCCCACTCTATCAACTGTCCTACCTCTACAGTAAATGTCTAAAAAGCCCAAAAGTAAATGTTAAAAAAAACAATAATAAAAAGAATTTATTTGTCTGAAAGTGACGAGACACATCAATTGTTGCCCACAAGACTGAGTGTGTGCACCCACAGTCAGCTCCAGCATCAAGTGTGATTCAGAGCTCATGTCCGCGGCTCTCTGGGAGAAGAACAGCGTCTACTTACGCCTGTGCATCCGGACTGATGCCGAGGAGTTTGCTGAGGGCCACACACAGGCGCTCATGGAGGTCATGGTTAATCCTGCCCCCAGCTTTGACTCTCTCCGCGTTCCTCTCCAACAGATCCAGAACCAGCGGCCGCAAGTGTCGGGCGATCAGCAGCGTGTAGTCTCTCTCCAACAGCAGCAGAGCCAAACACTCCAGAATACACTGCCGGTCCTGCTGACTCCAAATCTGAGGAGAGATCATCCATACAGTCGGTGATGCTGTTTGTTAGGGGTGTGGGGGTACGGTGGTCAAAATATTAGATTCTTCTTCTTTATACCACGTGTATTATAGAGATACTTTCTCAGATATTTTGATGACCAAAAGTATTAAATATTACAGAATCTTTAAAAATACTACATCTATCTTGACTGGGAGAAGAATTCATTATTCAAAAATTGCAAACAAACTCCTGCACTGTGCACACTGTCAACCAGTCTATATGTTTACTTAAGTGTGTTTGCATATTTTGGTAATAAAAAAGAGAATTTGAATTTCTAGGCACCTCATTAAGTAATTTCTTGTTTTAATAACCAGAATATGAAAACAAAAACGTCCTACACATCGTCTGAATAGCACAAATCCTTGGCAACGTGTAGGAGTTTCTTTTTGCAGTTTTTTGATGGACTAAATCTTCTCCAATGCACCTGTCTTGGAAAATAAACACGTTTTATATCTCCTGTACTATTCGATCATATCAATCATCAAAATGACGGCGATTGTATCATCGCTGTTGTTTTAATTCTTTTTTGTTTCATAACAAAACAGATCATATCGTGAGATCAGCATCAGCAGAGTGGCTGTGGATAAGTGGTAGAGTCAGTTGGAAGGTCGGGGGTTCGAGCCCCAGCTCCTGCAGACACATGTCCGATGTGTCCTTGGGCAACACACTTAACCACAAGTTGCTCCCACTGCTTCATTGACGGCGTATGAATGTGTATGAATGGGATTAGTTACTTATAATGGTCACTTTGCATATCAGTCTCTACCATCAGTGTGTGAATGTGTAGGTGTGACCTGCAGTGTAAAAGCACTTTGAGTAATCGGAGGACTAGAAAAGTTACATCTGTCCTACTGCTGAATGAATACACATAGAAGCACACACAAAATATTCTAAACATAACGTAAATTACAAGGGACAAAAAGACACAAGCGGGAGAAAAAAAGACAAATAAATAAAAAGGTTGATGAGCATATAAGCTCAGTCTACTCCAACTCTGGTTAGTGTTGACCACTCACTACCAAAATAAAAACACTGAGGATGGACCACTGCTTTGAGAATTCCTCTAATGTTCACTGCAATACATCGAATAACCTATCACGAGGAAGAAATGATAATAATCTATAATGCCAAATTGTTAATGTGGGTGAATGCACATCAAACCAAACATGCAGGATTTTAAGGTGTGCTGCATTCAGCTTGATAATGAGCAATTTAGCCTTTTGACCGGTCATGGTTACATAGTTTTAGGTCCATTTCTCCTCTGATGTCAAGACATTTCTCCCCCTCTGTTTGAACAGAGGACCAGATCGTAGTAATCAATGGATACAAACACATTAAATGACACTATGCGCCTGTTAGATTCTGCTGCACAGCACGTGTCTCCATATTTATTCCAGATTTCAGGGGTTACGTGTAAATTATTCATTATTTCATAGTTATTATGTTTAATGTATAAAAGCTCAAATGACATTAAAATGAAGTGGGTTGATCTTGTGACATGTGATGGAGAGATGACTGAGAGCTGCCACACACACACACACACACACGTTTAGAAAATAAAACAGTAAAGAGACATTAATGTGCTTCATAGCTAACAGAAATAAGAATATATTACCTGTTTGGACAGATACTGGCTGAGTTGGTTGTTCCTTTGGTCAACATGTCTGGATATGGTACCCAGAGAGGGCAGGCTCAGCTCTAAATTCTCCATCGTTTCATGTGTCGCCTCTGCAGCACAAACACAGCTAACGAACAGATTAATTTAATATAGTTCACCCAAAGTGTACGGCTCATCCCGTGCTCGTGTGTCTGATGTTGTATCACAACACACAGGCAGGCAGCACGTTTCCGTCACCGCTGTTAAAAAATCCTGTCCACATGTGAGTGAAGCGCATATCCTTCCGGGTCGGGGGATGATGGAATCTCCCGTCGCGCTCTGATGACGCGCACGCACAGCGACGCAGGGTCCGGCTCTCTCAGTCAGTCAGCGCAAAGAGAGCGAGTGGAGCAACTTTCTCTCGAGCAAACTCAACTATCTGCCTCGATTATATGACTTTATTAATGTCAGGAGGCTGTGGGAGGATGTCCTCGACTATTGAATACTGTTAATAGAGGTAAAGCGCGTCTCTTTAGTGGTTTACTGCTGTGTAAAGTGTGGATTGTTAACCGAGGAGGTGCGTTGACAGACCGCGGGAAAATGTCGTTACTTCCTGTGCGAAGAAGTCTTGGCGCGACATTACAGTTGTAAACAACGGGAGGACACACAACCGTGCTCAACAAAGTAAGGCAGACATTTAATATTAACTTACTGTAACCAACCCCTGTGTTATTGTCTTCTTGATCGGTTGTTTAACATTAACACGGAGTTTGTACTTGTCTCCTCTTCAGGTCGACGTTAAGGTTTCCTCTGGTCACTTGTAATTCAGTGGTAGAACAATGGTTATTTAACCCACCACAGCCGGCTTATTAACACATGCGTTAATGGAGATTAAATATCCTGCTGTATTAAATAGATAGTCTGTCATATACCTCACTAAAATAAACATTCATACATGAGGACAGCTTTATGAAAATTAAGAAGTGTAAAACGAGTTATGGGCTGCCTCACAATTCAATTTGATTTTGATTATTTCTTCATGATTCAACATCAGTCAGATTCAATATTGATCGATTTCTCTCGATATCAATTCAATAATACACACAAATGACAGGAATACCCAGATTATTCATTACAGTACCTTCTGATATTTGTTAAATAATCATGTGTGTAGTATTTGTATAGGTTTAGTTTTATTATTCTTTAATAAACAAAGAATAAAAAACATTAGAGTACATCTTTGCCTGAGCTGAACATGACTGTGCTGTAAATATTTAATCTTAGTTTATTACTATATTTAGTCTTACAGCCTGTAAGAAGAGTCTCTGTTCCAAATATAGTTTCCTCCTGGAATCAGGGATGGGACAGATCAGATCTAATATCGCGTTCAATATTGATCTAATTTATATACAGTTTATCAGACTGACAGAACTGATCCACGTCACTGATCAAGAATGATTATTGGGCGCTTAAAAATGTCTCATTCTTGAAGATATTCAGACTGAACTGCCCACAAATCGTCTCCATCGAGACGTTCAGACAAGATGGAGCAGCTTTTAGTCAGCCTGAAAGGCTTTAACAATCCCTGTACTGTCAAACATTTTACCACTATTTTTGTGAAAGGGTATTAGCACAAAAAAAAAGTGGTTCATGTTCACACACAGCGCTGTTCTCCCCCGCTGGCTCCACTGATCTCATCTCGCCCCTGTAACACCTCTGTCACTACCTTAAAAGACTATTCAGAAGGGCGGATCACTTGATCCCCCCCACTCCACCCCCACCCTCATTATACCTCTGTGACATTCACACTTGAGGCGAGATGTCACAGAGGCGTAAATATCTCTCCTTGAATGTGGACTTTAATCTCAATGAGGTTTTACCTGGATTAATAAACAGGGCACCTGGTGAAACCTTCAGCCTGTAACGTGTTCTCTGGATTATATTCACTGTAAACAATCATTACTTTATCCCTTTTTAGGATCGCCTTATCAAACGGAGCCACAGCAGTACTGGAAAATGGAGGACATTGACGCAGATTATGCTTCTGGTAGTACATTTTAAGTTATTCCATTCATAGAAACTGTTTTAATCTGTTGTATTTTTGTCTTCTGAGCATAAACTGTACATGTCAGGATGCGTCGCTTACTGTATTTTTTCTGCCTTTCTGCAATCTTTGTTGTTATTGTTTTTTGTCAGGTATGTCCATATTTGGTCAAGAGGGCGGAGCTATAGAGAAGTGCAGGGTTGTCAGATATTTACATATCAGCTAATTATCAGTCTTAGTTAGCAACATGCATAATTAATTTATTGTAACTGTGAAATTATGACAGTACAGGCTGTGGAGACACTATTTAATAAATCAAATGAACAGCCGTGTCTTTACACATCGGCACACTGAATAAGACGGGTTTTTTTCGTGTTTAGGACTTGCCTATAAGACGTTAGCTTTCTCATCTGTGTGACTGTAAATGAAACAACATATAAAATGAACATCATGCTGTTAGAAGAAGACTTGAGGCCATAAGCTCATCAGGAAAATGTTAACTGAGGGGATACATCTATTAGTTTAGACTAAATTCAGGGTTAGACTTTTCTGTTTCACTTAGCACAATGATACATTTATAACACATGTCAATTCATCACAGTTTTTGAAGTGGGTATCAATGAAGACTCTGTGGATATCTACGATGGCCTGGACAGCAACATGAGCAGCAATGCAGGTAAGACTTGTTTACTTTGGTCAGCCGCAGTGTCCCATCGTTTGTCCTGTCCTGTAGTTCAACACATTTCACCTCGTCCAACACCGTGCCTTACAAAGCATGAACATAACTTACTTTGAGTCTCATTTGGTTTCTTTACAGAGAAGTCACCTCCGCATGCCTCTCGACTGAAGGAGTCGATGGATCTGTACGAAGAGATGGTGACGGAGGAGCAGCAAAGCAGAGAGTCGACGTTCTCCGAGGTGAGGAACAATATTCTCTGTTGTATATCTGAGACTAGAGGGAGATAAGATAAGAAGCATTATTGATCTTAAAATGGAGAAGAATCACTTTTTACAGCAGCTCTAGAGTAAGATGAAAGAATGATAAAGTGATTAATAAAATATGCAAATAGTATGCCAAATGTATCTTTCATTTGGGTAATTGCGCATTAAAGGGTAATACACACAAGGTGCAGACTTGTCATCCTAATGATCAAATGTTTTACTGTAGGATTGAACAGTATACAAATAATGACACTAGAATAAATCCAGAGTATAGGATTAAGTATCAAATCATAAATTTGATGTATTTTAGTCACCTGACATCCCAGACTAAATTTGAGAATTAGTCTTGGACCTCACATCTTCAATCAGGCTATTTTTTTTATTATTTTGTTTGTGTTTGTTTGTTTGCAGCTGAAGAGCAGATTCCAAGCAGCTCAGAATCAAATCAAAGAGCTGCATCGGAGATTGGAGCAGATGGAATTTCAGGTCTGTTTTGTCTTATAAGCTGTTTCATAAAATGAGCTTGTGTTGCATAAAACATTATTTTTAATTAAATGTCATATCAGCATCAAATCACTAACCCGTCTTGTGTGTCCCCCTTTAAACAGAACACCCGGTTAAACACAGAGAACGTCAGTCTCAAGAAGAACATCTCGGCACTCTTACGGACGGCAAAACAGGAAGTGACCAGAAAAGATGCTGAGATCCTGAGATTGAACCAACAGTACGTGTGCTTTTTTTTTTTTTTTTTAAGATATCAGGGTCACTTAGAACTTAATTATCTGTTTTGAAGAAATAGAAATGGCACTGTGTCAAAGAAGGAGTCGGATGACTCATTAAGTGACTCATAGGTACATCAACTTTTGGAATTGCTACTGCTTCTCTGTGTATACTTGTGGTTTTATGTGTTAAAGCCAAATACACCATTAGGGTTGTAAAGGTACAGGCACTTGTTTTTAATGCATGCTTATCGGTGCGGCTGTGGCTCAGTTGGTAGATTCGGTCGTGTCTTAACCGGAAGGTTGGGGGTTCAATCCCCAGCTCCTGCAGCCAAAAGTCTTTTATGTTTCATTTAAAATGTTACAATGAAGAAACCTGAGCAGCCCTTCAAGTTGCTGCACTTAAGACAATGTGTAACAGGGACATTCTAAATGTTCCCAATAAAGGGGGGGAAACTTGCTGCATTTTTTTCTCTTAATGTATCAAACTGTGACTTTAAACCGAGGTACGCACCACAGCCAGATTTTTGTGCATAGTTACACCTCTAAAAACAATTCAAATCATCAATGTGTAAATATAGGAGCCTGTTTCAAATGATGGAAATACACATTGATGTAACAAATGAATGTACCCCATAATGAGTTACTATGACAACTTCATGTAAGAATATTAAAAGATATTGTTGACAGGTATACCAACACCACTGCTGTGTAAAGTTTTATTCTACTGATTGAATCAATGTTTCATAATTAATCAGTTGATCGATCTTTGTTTTTGTTTTTTTGCAGGTCAATGAAAGGTTTCAATCATCAACATCATAGTCAGTCTCACAATAATCTGCGGGACCAGAATTCATCTAGTCGAACCTCAACAGGCAGCTCCAGTAGGCCACCTCCTCCACCTACCTCTAAAGTTCCTCCACCACCCTCCAAACCTCCTCCACCACCTTCAGGTCCTCCACCTCCACCCTCCAGTCCTCCTCCCCCTCTCCCCCCTCTACCACCTTCACTTCCGAGGGAGAATAAACCTACATCCAGGAGGGATCCTCCTCAACCTTCCAGAAAGGAAACCACGTCTAAGCCTGACGGACCCAGCATCGAGACAAGAGCTTCAAAAGCATCCTCTGACGTTCACTCGAGAGGTTCCTCAAAAGGGGATTGTGATGCGCCTGATAGATCCAGCAACTGTCCTTCGACCCGGCATAAAGAGTCAGACAAACACAAGTCCAAGCATAGAGATGAAAGATCTGACTCAACGAGCAGGAGACATAGAACTGGTTCGGATCCCAACAAGGACTGTCATGCCCCAGAGAAAAGCAGATCTCACAGAGAACACAAAGACGCAGAGCGCAGATACGACTCCAGGTCAGGTAAAGGCAGGAACCACCTAAACAGTGAGGGGCACCACAGATCAGAGAGGACCAAAAGCCCTCCACCAGAGATTTTACACAGTGAGAAGTCGAAAACACGAGATCAGAGACAACTCAAAGCCAAACTGTCCATGTCAGACTCTGAACATAGCTCCAAAGAGAGTCACAGCAGAGAGCATAGAAAAATCAAGGGTGATGACAGACATGTTAAACGCTCAGACTCAAAGGACCGGAAAAAGTCCTCTTCAAATCAACACTCTGAACACAGCAGAGATACCTCAAAAGAAAAGGAAGGGCAAAGACTGTCTAAGAGTGATAACATGAAGGAGAAAAAAGGACATGAAGAAGACTTAAACAGAAGGCATAAGAGGAGAACTTTGTTGGAACCAAGCAAAGAATCTGAGAAATCAAAAGAATCAGACAGACATAACGCTCCTGTCTGTAGTCAGGAAAGAAAAGAGAAGACTGAAGAGGCCCTCAAGACAACATCGGAGGGACCTAAAGAGACTCAGAAAAGCTCTGTGGAGGAAAACAGTCCAAACAGGAAACTGTGCTTTATGGAAACTTTGAATCTAACCCTTTCACCGATAAAGAAGCCAGTGTTGCCCATCGAAGACCTCGCACTGCCAGACAAAGTGGTTGTAACCACACCTGATGATGAGAGTTCGCAGCCTAACGTTGAAGACATGTGTGTGATCGATGAAGTTGACAGCAGTGAGTTAGAAGCAGAGCCGTCTACAGATGAGCCTAAAACACTGCCAAGTCCTGAAAAGTCACATAAGAGGCGTGATGAAGGAGGAGATGATGAGCAAAAGGACAAAAACAGAAGTGAAACTGACAAGCAGCTTGAAAATCATTCAGTCCAAACTACCTCAGATAAGAACACACTACCAGATACTGCAGAGACTCAGGTGACTGTGAAACTCACAGCCAAACCATTGCAGAAGGGTTCTCTACAGCTCGCTGACATTTCAAAAGAAGATAAAACCAAGCTTGTATCAGACAGCACAAAAGATGAATGTGGACGTTTGGAGGCTCCAGGTGACATGCCTGGAAACGTTTCTTTACAAAAAGTCAAACAAAGAAACAGGATAGATAAATCTGCTGCTGTTACAGAACCCAATGTGCTTGATCCAATTGTAGAAGTGAAATGTCGGACTTCTAAATCTGCAGTACAGAAAAAAACCCCAGTTGATTCAGGCAAAGAAACCACTGCACCCTCAATAAAAGGCCCTGTAGCCAAAGATGCTGCTGACAAGGCTATTCTTGTAGATCGGCTAATTCCACCCACTATTCTACCTCAAGGTCGCCAGCAAAAATCATCCCTCTCGACATTCAGTTCCTTACCTGAGATAGATCCCTGCGACCTGCAGGATGGTCCCAAAGGTGCAGAAGCTGTTTCCAGTTCACTAAGCTTGGAATCACTTCCACAAGAAGGGCTGAGTCTTCCTGAAGCCATCTACATGTTGACACAAACAAACGAAGACATCAACAACAAGAGTGACAACACCGCTGAGCCGAGTTCTTCCTCTGGTTGCATTGCCGTGTCCAAAGTCAGCAGTACAACAGAGGAGACGGCCCAGCCAGAGAAGTTCAAGGATCTAATTTTCACGCCTAAAAAGAACTTCAGTCCGGGTAAAAGTCATGAGAATAACTTGGAGACTTCCAGCTCCATGCCATTTCTCCATGATGAGGACTCCATGATGCGCACACTGAGCAATTTGAAGAGGATCCCTGATGCCATCAGCCCTCTGAGGAGCCCAATGCGGAAAACCAGGAGAAGCCATGTCCATGTGGACGGCAAGCCGGGTCATGTCAAGAGCCTTCAGAAAGGTAAAGATCAAATATTATTACAATCATATTTTCATATCCTCAAGATCAGAGTGGATGTGGTTGCAAGTACTTTTGAGGTCCTTTTGATAGAGAAGAGATTTTACTGCACCAAAGAAATCATCTGCTTGACAAACTCAAATTTGTTTTCATGGTCAAATGTGAAAGAAAAAGTTACTAGTGTGAGAGTCTTACACCATCTCTGAGAAAGATCAGTGACATGATGTTTGTTAGATGTTCATGAGACATTTCAAGAGGAGGAACTGTAATGTTTTAAAGACATCAAACCTCAAAGATCATTTGAAAAACAGACCTGAAGCATGACAAAACAGTAATGAAAAAACAAAAGAATCTGCAACCGTCTTATTTTTTTTAAACATCAATATGGGCTTTTTTTTTTTCAGAGTGGGTGCCCCTCAAATTTTCTTGTAATGAACCACTAAGAAGGCAGTGGTCTGAAATGTCATGATATAAGACCAAACCAGGCACTTAGTGAAAAGTTCTGAAAAACATCTTGCAGGCAAAACACATGAAGTCTAAGCAAATAAGAGCTTATTGTATTGTGGTGCCAAAGTAAATTAAATTGAAGGGGAAAAAACAGTAATCTTCTAATTGAGCAAGCATATCTGATTGGGCTGAAAAAACTCAGAATCAGGTAAAACGTTAGAAATCAGTATCTCTTTGCTCAATCTGTCATCATAGCTTCAGCTATGTCAATTACAAAATACGAAAACTTTGTATTAACTTCTTTCCTCCCTTGTCCTGTACAGAGTTCTCCAGCCCACCTATTGATGCTAACTTGAAGAAGTTGGATGTAAACAAAGAAAACAAATATCCAGGTTCTCCTGCAAACAGTGACCCACAAAATGTGGTGGACAAGGAGTCTGACGTGCCTTCAAGCCTCTCTGACATCGACTTAGAAGAAGGGGAAATTATCAGTGAAAGTGACGAGGCAGCAACAGGTTCTCCTGCTCCGTCAACCAAGAGGGCAAAGTTGGCTCAACCAATCAAAAGTAAATCAAGTCCTAGGTCTTTATTACACAGGACATCTGAAGAGAAGCGAGTTGTGTCTAATGAAATAATTGAAAAAGCAGGTGCATCGTCGAGAAGTCCAAAGAGTCGATTTAAAACAGTTTGTCCTGCAGCAACCAAAGCTTCTTTTGCCAGTGTGGATGCAATAATGGGAACATTCAAGCAGGTCCGCGCTGAGATCCGAAAAAAGTACATGAAGCTTCATAAAACCTTTCCCAAGAAGAGCTTCTTCGGTATGATGCACAATTTCCAGGAGTCTTTCTTAAATTTTGTGGATGGCGCCAATTTTGTTCAGGTTTGCAGCCAGGAAGGGGAGCTCAAGTCCCAGCTGAAGAAACTGATCACTTCTGTGTTTGGCAAAGTTTCGAACAATGGTATTGTGAAACGCATCTTTGAACAGCAAGCATTCGACCTGAAGCAGAAGTTGTGGGACTTTGTAGACGGCCAAGTGGACTACATGTTCAAGGACATTCATGTGACACTGAAGAGCCTTTGCAAAACAACAAGAGCTCAGGCTGAGGATAAAAAGCCCAGTGGAAACGAGAAAGTTTCCACACAGGCTCCATTGAAGACTCCTCATTGTCAGGAAACGAAAGCACAATCTGCTCCAACCAGCCTGAATCATATCAAGCCTTGTGCCGTGGCGCCTTACAAAACAGGCCTTGGTAGCAGAGGCAAAGATATCAGAATCACACAGGTGGAAACAGACCAGAATGCTGACTCGCATCCAACAAATACACAAACTGTGGTCAACTTCCTGCCTCCTAAAAATGTTCCTTCAACCCCAGACAAAAATAACACATCATCTTTTCTTGTCCCTCCAAGTGGCTCTCTGCTCGACAAAACAGACTTTCAGCTTCTCACAGAACAGCAAGCCTCCCGTTTGACATTCAACCTGGTGACAGACTCTCAAATGGGAGAGATCTTCAAGTGTCTCCTCCAAGGCTCTGACTTACTGGAAACCAGTGGCATCACCGGAGATAACACGACCTGGTCCCTCAGTTCGCCAAGGAAGGACGGGGAGAGACTCCTCAGCATCACAACTCCAACCAAATTCGACTCTCCGTCTAAACTACTTTCCCCGCTGAAGTTCGACACTCCCTCTAAACTGATCACGACGTGGTCCAGCATTTCACCTCGCAAGATATCGTCTCCGCGACCCAAAGATCAGCCGCATCTCAATCCAGCTCTGTTTGATGAAAGTTGCTTGTTAGAAGTGCCAACAGAGAGTAGAGCAATGCAGCTGTCCGGTTTGGCTTCACATAGGTCGTTTTCCATTCTGGCTGAAGATCTGGCCGTCTCGCTCACCATCCCATCCCCCCTCAAGTCCGACAGCCTTCTCAGCTTTCAGCAGCAGCCAAGAATGCACATCATGTCCACTCCAGACAGCGTCATCAGCGCTCACATAAGTGAGGACGCTCTGATGGGCGAGGAAGACGCTAGCGAGGATATCCACCTGGCCCTCGACACGGACCTCTCCAGCTGCAGCTCCAGCACCAGCCTGGACTCTGAACCACTCGCCACACCTTTTGTGTTCAAGCCCGAGCTGCCCGTGCAGGCACTGGTGATGGAGCGGTCCAACGATCATTTCATTCTGAAGATCCGTCAGGCAGCAGCAGGGGCGGATGTGACGCTCACTGCCGACGACAGCTTGAGTCAAACTCTAACAGAAGAAGTTCAACACCATGACGACGCCATGGCAACTCATGCTGCAGATGATTTCTCAGACGAATCCAAGAAAGGTACAACATCAAACGCTGAACCATCAGAGACCAACCTGTGTAACGCTCCTAAAACCTCAGAGATCTCTCAGACTGCCTCTGGAGAAGAAGAGAGTTTGATGCCGACAAAGGATCCATCCCCCAAAAAAGATAATTCATCACCGCAACGAAATACCTCAAAGGATTGTTTTTCTGAAGATTCCCAGATATTGACTGAGTCTCTTAAAGTTCTGCCTCCTTCAGATAAAAGTTTGCACAATGCTGTTGAGAGTGCTGATCAAGTGTTTGGTCAGATCAGCAGAGAAGATGTCAAAGACGCTGCTAACGAAAGCTCAAGGCAAACGAGACACAACAGAAAGGATGACATGACAAGTCCCTCAAAAGCTTCACTGTCAGGTTACAGTCCACGTCATCTGGCTGAAAGCTCTGAGACAAATCAAAGCAGCCGGTCGTTTGTGTCCCGTGATTCTGACTCGGAGAGACATGAAACGGAGGTGTCCGAGTCGGAGAGGAGTCTCACCATCACAGAGGATGTAAGCAGCACACCAGAGAAACACATAAAGGATGCTGGGAGAAACAGAAAACGGAAGAAGCAGCAGGAAAAATCCAAGGCCAAGAGGTCAAGGAAGGAAGAGGAGGAGAGTACGGATGAGGTGGTGTCTAACTACCAGATGGACAGGAGTGAATCCAAATCCTCCCCGGGATCTCTGTCCCCCAACAACCTCTATGCCAAGAACGTCGTCAGGAAGAAGGGCGAGGTGGTGATGTCCTGGACCAGGTATGGACTCAGTTCTTTACTTTATCAGCCCTTCTCCCCCCAGGATTTAGTTAATTATGGGTTTAATGTTAAGCATCCTCAATATTTTTATAGACTTTACATTATTTCCACTCGTCCCAAACCTTTGGAGAAATGTCCAACCTCCAAGATTTTATCAAAACAGTCTTACTCGCCTTTTTCTTGAATAAACAATATACAAAGTAACTGATATGAAATCATGCTAATGAGTACATCTGCTGTGTGTTGGTGCGACTCTGTAGAGCCCAACCATATAAGTTTAATGAAACAGATGCTGTGATAATTTAAGATGAGAAAATGCTTACAACTGTTTGGCAACCAATTTCATGAATTAAGTGCTGTAATGAAAAAAGTTTGTTTTCTTCATTCCATTTTCGGAGTAAGTTCCACATAATTATACAGAGTAGGGCAGTTGAAGGATTCAATTTTTAAGTTGTGATTAATCACTGAATTTCAGTAGTTAATAGTGAGAAATGTTTTTTTAATCATGTTTGAAATTCCCTTATTTTGCTTTACAAACAAGTTTTTATGCTTTTATTTTGAATGTATGTTCTGTCTTTGGCTGAGGGTTCTTCACTTCCTGTTTGTATACAAACTTGCTTTTATTTTGAAAGAAAATCAGGAGCTTCTGGGAGACTGAAGGTCACAGTTTTCACTAAACCACTTGATATTATGTTATCAGTACCACTTCAGGTGGTCTGTGTGTGTCGAGATGTATTTGATGATGATACTTTTCACAACAATGATAAACTACAAGAGAAGGACAGCATTGGAGGAGAGCAGCTGCAGAATTTAAATATTGAAACGAAGGCATGTCAAGCTACAGTTAGGGCAGCAGTGTGGCTCCTCAATCAGTGCATTAACATTAGGGATGTAGGGACAGCGGCTCTCTCTCTCTCTCTCTCTCTATTTTCTCTCTGTCTCTCTCTCTCGTGCACAGCAATTTTATGAATTCATTTTTAAAAAAGGTTGTAATAATAGGCTAGGGGAGGAGTTATTAACATACCTGGGGGCCTGTGGGAGTATCGAGATGTGGGAAACTGTCGCAAATACAGCTTGTTCGTAATGTTTAGGGAAATATGAGTGAATCACCATCATCTAGAAAGGAGATCATATGTGTGTGTGAATTAATCATGTGTTCCTTAACGTGTGTGCAGAGGGTTTTACAACAATTTTTGATGGTTGCATTAAAAAATAAAAAATTAAGATTTCAATTTTTTTTTTTTGCTGCTTCTAGAGATGAGGATCGAGCTATTCTGGTTGAACTGAAGAAGAAAGGAGCTTCCCGCGACACTTTCTCTGCTCTGTCAGAGAAACTGAATAAACCATCGGCGCAGGTTAGTCCATGTTTTTAGAACGTCGGTCGGTTTCTCACTTTACAGGCTGTGTTTGGGAATCATCCAATAACTGATTTTCCTTTTCACAGATTGCTCACAGATTCAACCAGCTCATGAAGCTTTTTAAGAAGATGGACCCCTGATCACTTGAGACTGTGAGGAGGATTGTTTCATGAAAACGGATCTTGTGTTTGGAACATTTCTACACACCAACAACACAGGTGTGCATGCGCTGTTTTTGTAGCGCTGGAAGACGTGAACGCAGAGTCAGCGGATCGATCCCCACACGAACTCTTTGCTCTACGATGTGGGGACCCGCTTACCCCCTCCATCAGATGAGTTGACAGGAGATGGACGGCCGTTTGAAACCACATCGTCGGAGTGTGAAGTGTTTCCTCTTTATACTGTTTTGAAAAAGAATTTGAAGTGTGAAAAATAAGATTTCAACAGAACTGACAATATGGATCACTACACAGTAAAATAAATCATCAGTGTTAGTTGTTGATGCACTTTTTGGTGTCAGACTCCGCACTGCACACACTACTTCTGTTACGTGCTGATGTCTGCTACTCATGCAGCATTTACAGCATTTCTCTCTCTTTAGGATACACCGACTTAACAAACCCTCAAATTAATATTAGTCCTTAACTGATGTTTTCCTCATACCGGCGGAGGAAAACCCCCTTCAGACTCAGATGAATTCAGAGCACAGGTGTTCAGATTTTAGTTTCTAAAACACTCAAACAACTGTAAGAATAAACCTTGGGTGAAGCTATGGGTCTGACAGGTTGGGCTATTTTAGTCCAGTTTTCTATTTTGGATATTATTTTAATAGGTGTATTGGTGTAAGAGGTCGGTGCTTAATTGGTTTGAAGTTTATAATGTTTACATGCCCGATTCATGTACAGGACGATTTCCTTATGTCTGTTAATCAAATGAAGCATTTTATCTGTTGGCCCGAACAGCTCTTTGTTCAATTTAGCCCAGTGCTTAACAACAGCATGGAACACAAATGATGTGAATATTGTGCAAATAAAGTTTTATTTATTTATTCAGGGGGTCAGCTTGGTTCATTGACAGAGTGATGTAATCTGTGTAAGACAATATTGGCAAATTGGCCAAATGAATTAAAAAAGATCGACTCCAGTTGGCACCAGGGGAAGATAATGTATGAGGTAGCACCCTATACTGTTATCAGCATGACACAAATATTCATGAAGTGGGCCACAAAGTCCTGGAAACCAGGCCAGCACCCAAGAGGGGGAGGGGGAGTAGAGTGTTGTAACAAGTGATATGAAGCGGAGGAAGGATGGAAGGAAAACAAACATTTGGCAAACACCCGACAGACTGCTTCTAAGCATCACCACAATGTTGGTACACAAAAGTAAACTTGACAAAGGTTCAGAGGGACCAAAAGGTGATTTTGTTTTCTAATAAATTGTTGATGCTAAGCAAGAGTATACAGGATGTTTTCTTCTCAAGTGATAGTTTGTCGTCTTACTCTTCATGAGATAGTTCATAGATAATTATGAGGTTTCAATCTTGAATTAGTTAACTTAAATATGCAAAAGAGAAAAACCTTTATTGTGGAATACATAATGTATTAAGTGCAGCAATGATTGACAAAATCATTAAATACATGATGTATCAAATCTGATTCATACATTTTCAACATGGTTCTACGATGTAATAAGCCACAACACATGGGTTCATTATATTTTGCTTCAGTCCAGTAAGTTTCTGTTTTCAAGTATCAGTAACTATTTTTCTTTCTTTATATTTTTTTGTAAAAAATGTGTTTCAAAAAGCACTTTCAATGGTAGCTGAAGTCAGACAGTTCCTAGGCAACAGGTCCACATCAATGATCCACCTCATCATGAGAGAGAGCCCAAAAAACTCTGGGGAAGTTATATAGTTAGTAACATGATGCAACAAGGGGACAGGAGCACATAGTTAATGAAGAGAGAGGGAGAGACAGGAGCTCAGTGTGTCAGGTGTCCCTGCAGTCTAAGCCTATAGCAGCATAACCAGGAGCTGGTCCAAGTCTGAGCCAGCAATAACTATCAAAAAGGAAAGTTTTAAGCCGAGGTGTCAGCCTCCCTGACCCTGAATGGTGGATCATTCCAAATTGGCAGAGGCCTGATAACTGAAGGCTCTACCTCCCATACTACTTAAAGTTCACGTCCACCCCAAAGGTTTCAATTGAGGTCAGGACTCTTTGCAGGCCAGCCAGTTCCCACACAAAACCTAGAAAAATGTTCCTAATGGGCTACTCTTTGGATACATTTTGAAACAGAGAAAGGGTGAAAACAAACTCAACACAGTTAAGAGTTCACTGTTGCAAACTGTTGTACAATAAGGAAAATTCTTGAACACATTGTACATGTGGGTGTATTGACATGTCTGTCGTTGTTATTTCCAGTGTAGTGTCCTCTTAAAAGTGTCAGGATGAAACTGACCCTCAGGGCATTATAGGACCATGTGGTGGATCAATGGCTTCAAACTGGAGTCCCAGTTTGCAACAGCATCAAAAATAGTGTCAGCCACACTGCACAGTGGGGTCTGATCAGTCTCCACGGAGATCACCAATGAGCTCAGATGTTTGCACAGGTTTATCTGCTCTTCTATACTGGCGTTCTGCTGAACGCTTGAGACAAGGACCCTAGAAAACATGTAAGTAAACCATTTTTTTCATCGCTTCTTTGATCTCAATTTGATGGAAAACCTACAGATAACGTATTTATGCATTGACAGATGATGACAATGTGACAGAAGATGGGTGATTGGAATTTATTGGGGAGTATATTGGAAGAGGTCCACATTCATTCCACCATCGTGGGCAAGATCTGGCTCACCATCCTCTTCATCTTCCGGATGCTTGTCCTCGGTGTCGCAGCCGAGGATGTGTGGGATGACGAGCAGAGCGAGTTCGTTTGCAACACCGAGCAACCGGGCTGCAAGAACGTCTGCTACGACCAGGCGTTCCCCATCTCGCTCATCCGCTACTGGGTCCTGCAGATCATCTTCGTGTCCTCTCCGTCCTTGGTTTACATGGGGCATGCCTTGTACCATTTGAGGACCCTGGAAAAGGAGAGGCACAGAAAGAAAGCCTGTCTGAAAGCTGAGCTGGAGGGGAAGGACCCCGTCCAAGAGGACCACAAGAGAATAGAGCGAGAGCTCAGAAAACTAGACGAACAGAAGAAAGTAAGGAAAGCTCCCCTCACAGGCTCCTTGTTGCGCACATATGTGTTCCATATCTTAACGAGATCTGCGGTGGAGGTGGGCTTCATTATTGGTCAGTGTGCTCTGTACGGGATCGGACTGTCTCCTCTGTACAAATGTGAGCGCTTGCCTTGCCCCAACAGTGTTGATTGTTTTGTGTCTCGGCCGACAGAGAAGAACATTTTCATGGTGTTCATGCTGGTTATAGCTGGGGTTTCTTTATTCCTCAACCTGCTGGAGATTTTCCACCTGGGGGTGAAAAAGATCAAGCAGAGCTTGTACGGATACAAATATGGAGACGACGACAGCGTGTACAGGTCAAAGAAAAACTCGTCGGTGCAACAGGTCTGTGTGCTCACTAACTCCTCGCCTCAGAGGTTGATGCAGCTCACACAGAGGACCTGTCATGCTGTGCCTGACGCTCATTGGGAGCCTTTAAGTGTTGTCCCAGGGGCCCCTCAGAATCAGGAGGGGTCGGCCAGCTCCAACCAGCGTCCCAGCCAAGTGGACATCCAGGCTCTCCATCAGCTGGGAGAGTTGGAGCGACGGCCTACTTTCGACAACGGGATGCCTTCAAGCAGCAGCAACGAATCAAATGGACTTCAAAGCTCAGGGCAGCCTCAGTACGCAGGACCAAGACCCACACTGATGGGGGGCCACATGGAGATCCCAGCGTCCCTGAGGATCCCTCAGAGGAAGCAGAGCAAAGTGAGTGTGTGCAAGGAGTTCAGTGACACGAGTGATTCTCCAGAGAGCGGTCACTACCCCACAGCCAGGAAGTGCAGCTTCATGTCTCGAGGAATGTCAGAGGGGAAGCTGGCCTCTCCGTCTGACAGCGCCGACTCTCAGAGCGGGACGGATGCAGAGACCCAGCACCTAAACCAGGGGGAGAGTCCAATGACGACTCCACCGCCTCCATCCAGCGGGAGGAGGATGTCCATGGTAAGAGAAAAAACTTCCCATGTTTTCCTAATTTTAATCTGCAGCCCTTCCAAAAATGAATTTATCTATTTGGGCGACTCGTGAATAAAAGTCAATAAAAAGAGGTTAACTCGATTTAAAATTTGATAAACACCAGGATGGAAAATATGGAATATTTATAAAGCCTTTATATGCAAAGTGGTGGTGCAGTTATAGGGAATTCATTTGTAACAAAAAAAGTTAAAGGAAGAATGTGCAACTTTGAGCCAGCATGAAACCAAAACAAACTTCTGTTTGGCGACAGTTCCGCTTTTCTGAAGCCTCCGCTCTCCTCTAGCGACACACCTCCAACCACTCTCCACTCCCGTTCACAAGAGGCAGTTATGAATTAGAACGCACCATCATTAAACACCATTAAGCTGCAATTGCCTGTGTCCTGCATTGTTATGTTAGCAGGCTAATGTTAGCACACTTTAGTTTGCACGCAGCTTAACATTGCACATAAATTGACACAGAATGACTGTGATATAAAAACACATACATACATATTACAAGTATACAAGTACATATTTTCTTTTTATATCCACAGTTATTTTATTTTTCCTTATCAGATCACTTCATTTAATTCAATTCTTTTACACAATGTTGTCATGTGGCTTTTCTGAGTCCATAAAAGAAATGAAACTAAGAAGTGATGCCATTAAAGTTACACATTGTCATCTGTATTTCCTTCTGATGTCTGGCCAACAGCAGACAATAAAAATGTGTTATAACTGTTTACTGAGTTGTTTTTTTAAAACCACATCTTGTAAAAGTGGTTTGCATCTATCTTTGTTAGGTCTCTGCTGCCCTCTGCTGGAAAGAAATCTAAACTAGAAATACATCTCTCTTTTTCTCTCTTTGTTATTTGATTTACAAAGAGTTGGGACAAATAATCTTGTTATAAAGACATTTAGTTATTAAAAACTGAAACTAAATCACAGAAAGCAGTGAGTTTAGTAAATGCATATCTTTCTTTATCTTAACATAATCATCCATTATGTGTGGGTGCAGTTTCTCACATGTGAGTTGTAGTAGTATAGCAACAATTATTGTACAAGTATTGGGCAACAACCCCAAAATTGTAGTAACAGTGTTTTCTTTTTACTTTTATTTTAATTTTCTAATCTAAGACGAATCATATATGTTCATGTTTTGCATTTTATAGGAAAATAATGGAAATTCCAATAATTATTATATTTAAAAAACTTTTACAAATACACTAAATAAGACAAAGGGAAAATGAAGTAGGTGCTCAGAACAAAAGAAGAATACAAAGTTTATTTTACCTGTAAACGAAATAAATTAATTAAACTGAAAAATGAGAATAGACCACAGGAAACACATGCAACCACCGTCTACAGCAGACCATGTGATGAAATGATTTAATGCTGCTGTGTTGAAGTTTGGTTAGACCAGATGGTTTTCCAACTTTCCCCTCATGCCCCCTTTTGGTGGAGGAAAAACCTCGCCTCCCTTCTCGAGAAGTAAGACTAGTACTGTAGTACTCAAAATGTATCTACTTGAAGGTCTCAGTTCTCATCTCGGGATCGAAAGCATTTTTCTACGAAATCAAGACCGGTCAAGACCATCACTGATTGGCTATTTTTCCAAGTGATTAAGAGAGGAAACACCCCTTTCTAGAAGAAAGTAGTTGGACTTTTATGCCCAGGTTATGTCCTCAACCTTCCCAGTGTTACGGTCTAAGTGAGTGACACGCCCCCTGCACACATGATGATGATTTTTAAGTCATATTTATCGTCTCTGTCTTGGTCTCATCATGTCTTGGTTTTGTCTCGGTCTTGGATATGTCTTTGTCTCGGTTAGTGTGGTCTTGACTATGACGCTAGGTTAGATGGTATCAACGGAGCCAGCAGAGAGAGAGCATTGCTGTGTGTGTGCATGTCCAAATGTGTGTGTATGTGGAACCCCCGCTGTTGCTCTCCTGACGTTCTTCTGCAACACTGTAACACAATGTTAATTCACAGACTCAGACACCCATATTATGCTGTTGTAGGGTAAATAATGACTGCCATTACAAAGCGCAATATTTACGCCTTGGGGACATTTCACTTTCAATATGAATATCAAAGAAGTGTAATAGGGGGATGAATTGATCCCCCCCTCTTTTACGCTCCAGAAATGTGGAATACTTTACAACACACTCAGATTGACACTCTTCTTTCTGTTTGGACAAATTAAGACCGTGATCTCAAACCACTTCACCACAGTGTGCGATTGTTTTTTACTGAGATCATCCTGAGAATCTTTGTAGTTTGATTTGTGCCCTTTTTTTTGTATCTCAGCATCGTTGTAAATGAGGGAAACCTCAATGACTTTGGTGGCTTAAATAAAGGTTTTATAGTGGTAGATTTCAGATAGATAAGCACTTTATTGTCATTGTATAAAAGAGCACAACGAAACTTTGTTGGCAGCAATCCCATTCAGCAGCGTTACAACATCTGGTCACATACTGTATAAAACATCTGGCTATTAGAAAAACTTGTGCTACATTAAACGAGTAGAGAAATCAAGTTTTATTTATATAGATATCTTTCATACAAATCAAAAGCAATTCAAAGTGTTTTACAGCAACTGAAATAGCTTTACTATGGACAGACAAGAATAAACGGTTAAAGGGGACATATTATGAAAAATCCTTTTCTACAGTGTTTTTGAACATATATTTGGGTTACCACTGACCCACAAAATGTGAAATAAACCCATCCAGTCTTTTGTTTGTAGTCTCCATAAGTCTTACAACACAGATTTCAAATGTGCTCTCCTTGTGATGTCACAGTGGGATTCTGGTAAAAAACAATCCCCTCCCCTGGTATCTCCACCCATGGACTCCACCCCCAGCCTAGAACAAAAATTTTGTGCAGGTCCGCCATTTTTGTTCTCTCTACAGAGGATTGATGTCTACCAGGAAAACTCAGGGGGGGCTTATTTCATTTAAAGAGACACACACACCAAAACGGAGCATTCTGAGAGAGCTGGTTTATACAGGGTCACAAACCTTCTCTGGTGCTTGATTCATGTTATATTTTGACCAAAGCACAGCACAGATGTTTCATTTAGACCACAGGGGACTGTTTGAAAAGGTGGAGAAGGGGTATCACATGTCCTCTCTTTAAATAAGTACAGTAACAGTTAAAGTTCAGTGACTGGATGAATACATAAGTACTTATATTTCAGTGACTTATTAAAAAGTTTCTAGATAAATAGGTAAAAAGTGCAGTGACTGAAGGAGTAAACTATCTTGTATTTGCTGAATTATTAAGTAGTTATTGTACGTTGACTTAACAAATTAACAGTAATAATGCAGTGGCTGAATGGTTAATCTAACTATTACTAAATGAATTTGTGCTGGATGCTGTTTAAAGACAATGTGGTTTTATCTGTGATTTAAATGATCATTTACTGTCTGATCTTGTTTTTTCTTTCAGAGCATGATCCTGGAGCTATCTTCTATCATGAAAAAGTAAAACGACAAAGACTGTTACGGGACGAGCGCTTACAGGCTGACAGGATTTCTAAAGGGGCCGATGGATCTGCTTTCTTTTCATACGAAAATACGTTGAAATAGATACTGCATAGACATATGTACAATATGTCTATGTAGTATCTATTTCACATTATGACATTAAGAGGTAAAAAAAGATGCTTCATGTTTTGTCAAAATTATATCTCCAACTTCTGATGACTTTTGTATTGACAGATTGCAAACTTCTAGCTCTTTAGTGTTTTGTGTATTTTTGGATACTGCAAATCAAATATGAATCCCAATAAGTTTTTGGCTTAAAGCATTTATGTGATTGCTCATAAGATGAGACAAAAAATACCTTGTTTCAATGATATTTGATTAAAGATTTTAATTACAGATTGTGGAATTGGCGGCCACAATAAACAAAGAGAACTCTTCAAATGTATTTATGTCTGTTTATCAAAAAGAACGAGCTAGAGACGAAAAAGGGCTCTGCAGTTTGAACGTTTGACCGAGAAGGAAGCCTAATTCTGGTCATAAAAATATCTGACAAATTTAAACTTATGTTTTAAATGCTTTTGTTGTCCTGATTTTTTGTCATAAGATGACATTGTCATGTCTTTATCTTCTCTAAGTTTGTATCCCTGCACATTTAAAAACCTGCTGCATTTAAATGGAATCCAAGTGTCAATAAGCTTGGGCCCTATTGTCCTTTATTGGGGTCAAGAAGTTTTGGAATTGCTCCACTAGATTGGTTCAGCCAGCAGCAGATAACAGGCTGCAAACAGGGCCGTAGTAGCGGGGGGAATAGTGGGAACCACTAACAAAACTTTTTAAAATAATATGTGCTATTGAGACAGTGAGGAGTTTGTTTGTAATTTGATTAACCCATTTTTCTTTGAAGCATCTTTTGCGATTGGATAGAATTAATTTTTTTAAGCTTAAGCAATAGTAACATCCCAGGGTTGGCTGAGGCTGTGGCGGACAGGCCCAATGTGAGATCTTATTATGGGGCCGAGAAGCCCTGCCTGCAGAGGCTGCATTAACCACTTTGGAGCTAAATGCTTGGCATCAAAATACGTCCACTGATCATGAATTTCACCAAATGGCTAATTATTGTTTCTTACCTGAGGCTTTGACGGCTCCAAACTATGAAGAAAGTAAGTGGACAAAAGGATCAACAAAGGCTGCTTATAAATGAAACCAACATTTCGTCATATTTTTGCAAAAAAAAATCACAAAGTGCAGAAGATGATATGCATGTTTCTTTATTTCATAAAGAGAAATGGTGTCTAGACAAAAAAAGTCATTTATAGAACACTAGCAATTGAAATGAATGAAAATGGGGTTTGCACAATACCATATTTACAATGGTTATTAAGTCATTTTAATTCATTAGGGTCATGTAGCATTTAAAAATGATAAAGGTAAGAACTCTTAGTAGAGAATAAGCAAATGACAGCTATTTGAAATTGACAATATTAACACAAAACAGTCGTCTAGAAAAATGAAAGAATAAAACAACAACTTGAACTACAAGCTTAAGAGCTATTACATTAAAAATGATGCACCAAAAATCTACTAATACAATAATCCATAGAATCTGTGTAAAAAGCATGTAGAAAAAACACCTGATGCAGTTTGCTGATACAGTCATTGACCAGTTATGAGAGGTATGAAGGATTTCACAGGTAGATAAGTGTGAGAAAGTCCGCACTGGTGACTCAGGGATGGGGGCCGGGCCCCTGCATACACTCACTTCATTTGAATGTGAACTATGGCCTCTGCAAGTTCTAAGGCAAATATCGGAGGTGCACGTGTATCCATGCTGACCCATCCCAACAGTTGGATTAAAGACAAGGTGAGGAAACTCATTCTTTGTCTCTTTACCAAGAAGCAGTCCGATTGAAGCGACCATCAGTTTAACATGGCAAACATTTATCAAACATGACATGACACTTATTTGTAAACATTTTCCATTTTCAATGTTACTTAATGATCTCAGCCTGCGCGTTCAACCAGGATACCAGATTTTTTAAATTTATTTTTTCAATAAAGTTGAGCAATCTGTGAGAAAGGCATGTTTTTGTTCATACGTTTTCTTATAGAACAACCTTTGGAGTTGAAAAGCCAGTGTTTGTTTCAGAGAAGCAGCAACAAAAAAAAAACAAATCCACAACAAAAAGGTACGAGCATTCAGTTATACATGTCAAGGTATTTAAATCAACCTGTTGTAATGGCATCAGCCAAAAATAAAAAAAACGTTTGGCCTGCACAAAGAAACCTGGAGGATTCCTCGAATCTAAGAATTAAATGGTTACATTAACTTCAGGTTTTATGCATAGAATTATAAACCACATCGTTTTAAAGCTGCACTAATGGATTTGTATTCAAAATGGATCAGATGACTGTGTGTGTGTTGTTTTTAGTGAAGAACGAGTTGTTTCTGGTTATTAACCCAAGATATTCTGCCAAATACTGTACGTGAAAAAGTTATTGTACGCTACGAAAGCTGCGCCAAACAGCAGAGATACAGATTTAGCTGCAGCTGGTAAAAATACTGGAGGTGGTGGTTTTGACCAAAAAGAAACCTAAAAGTTTGAGTGTCTATTGGACGTACATTCAGGCAGACATAAACATGACTATAAATGAATGTGTATGATGCTTTTAGCTTTTAGCTCAAGTGGCCAAAAATCAATTACTGCAGCTTTAAGTTTCGTTAACAAATCTATTTTGAGGCTCAAACAAATAAAGTTAAATGAAAAGATGAAAAGATAAAAGTCTGCTGCAGAGGGAGATAAAGAGCAGGTTTAAATGCTTGACACCCTGAGACACTAAAGGATCAGTTCACCCAAACGACAAAAATCAGAATTCTTATTTCTGACAGTATCAAACCACACAGAAAGTTTTGGTTTCAGTCTAACATTTTTGTAACCATCCCAACAGACCAGAGGTTAGTGAAAATTTGATTAGATTCAACTTTTCATTTGAAACAAAGTCAACAAAAACATGATTATCCAGACCAACAGGGAAAATAAGTAACAGGATCTCAGGACACAAAATATACCAAAGTAATCAGTAACAAGTTTGTAACCATTGAATAAAAAACTATCTGCGTTACGAGATGACTCAAGTACAGAAAACAATGAGGTCCACATGTGAAAATTGTATTTTATAGGTCCGAGTTAATCTCAGAATCTGGACATTAAACTCAGAATATACACTCTAATCTGCTCTCACAGCATGTATTTTATTTCAGATCTTTTAATTAATTCTCAGAATAACAGTGTTGATCTCCCTGTTATCCACTCTGATCACAAAATGCAGACTTTCCAATTTTAGAATCCAGATCTTAAATCTAAAATCCAGATTTTTACCCCCTACAAAATGTATCCTTCCCATCAAAATTTAGCCTCTCTTATCAGAATTCAAACTGTAAACTCAGACTTTCGTCTTTTCTTTTAAGTCCATCTTTACACCCAGCGTTTGGACGTTAAATTTAGAATTTGGTCCTGGTTTCTTATTTTGATTGTTTAAATTCCCTGAATACGTTTAACTCGGAACTTAAAAATAAACTTCCAATGTGGTCCAAATAGGTACTATATCCAAGAAATGAGAGCCAGTTTAATAGCTATTTATTTATTGAACTATTTTTAGTCATTTGAGTGAACTGACCCCTTAACCAACAGTGAAAACAATCGAGTAATCCAACATTACCTCGTCTCTTCATTGGAGCCAAAGATGCAAAGAATCGGAGAGCTTAGCGGTCTGGATGAAAAGCTTTTCTGACTGGAGGTTTAGCTTTAATTTGTTTAATTATCTATGCATCTAAGTTCTGTGGGACTCTAAGAGTTTGTTAAGTTGAATTATGAAATAGTTGTTACAGATATTCTGCAGTATGCTAAAAACAAGCAAGTGGTCGCTGTCGTATTATGAGGGCATCTGAGACTTCCAGGGGCCTTTCTGCTACAACACAATGTTCATAAATCTATTTTCTCCAGACAGAAAAAAAAACAACATATATCAGAGTTGATGCTCTCTGATTCAAAACCAGGCTTCCTCAATTTAACATCAAGCTAATAAAAAAGTAAATGAACATAAAACGAGTTGCATAACGTTTGCAGAAATGAAGCCTCTGTAACGTAGACGCGTCGGTTCCTCTCTAGTTTTGTTGCTTGAACCTGGTAGAATCTGCACATTAATACTGTAAATACTGTTTAACTTCAGATAAAATGCATACAAGAATGAAAAGATCACAAATAAAAGATGGGCCGAACCACCATTACTGCTCTGCACTCAAGCTGTGCCCCATGTGTGTGTACTCTGTGTGTGTGTGTGTGTGTGTGTGTGTGTGTGCTGTTCGTGTACGTGTGCATGTGTCCGTGTCTTTGCGGGGTCTATGTACTCTACGAAGTAGGGAAAAGTCTTTTAACAATTTAAAGACAGATTTTTAAAATACACTTAACTCTGTTTGGCTGTATAACAGAAAGAGTCTCACATGTGAGATCATATTTTTAACTACATCTAAAATTTACATCAGTTTAAGTCCAGGGGGGAGGACTTTAAAATGTTTCATCTTAACTTTAAAGCCCAAATCCATGATTAATTCGGCCAAATAATCATTGAAATATACAACATTTAGTCACTTTAATGATTCAAAGGACTAACACTTTGTGTCAAACTGTCCTGGGTTTGTTAACCAACCTAAAATAAATCAACTGAAACGAAGTGTTACAAAACTTACTGCTAGCTAACTAGCACAGCAATCTGATCTTTTTTAGATCACTCTAAGGGGGTTTACAATACTTTTTTGGGGGTGTATTTACTACGGTACTTTCTTGCCTTTGTTCATGTTCCGTTAGCAAACATGTCTGAAATGCTAGTTAGCCTGTTTTTGGCATGAATGCTTCAACTGTATAATTATTTTGTTTCATACATTTTCTTATAACTTCCCTTGTATGAAATCAAAGTTACAAAAAATTGCTTCAGCAAAAAATTATCATAAATATTATTTTTGTATCAAACTGTTTGTTTTAAGCTTCTTTAAAGCTGCGTTTGCTTTTTTTAAAGACTTGGGGTTTACATTTCTAATTGAAAGTACTGTAGTAAATACTAATTTGTTAAACTTTGGGAACACATTCCTCTAACACATTAACACCATAGCAGAAAAGTTTCATGAAAGAGAAGTTTTCTTGCTAATGAAACAGTGGCTAGCCTGTTATTAGCTTCAGCTAGTCACGCTAAGAGGGAGGGCCGTTTTCTTGGATTGGGGCTTTAAAGAGTGACGAATAAAGCTTCACATTCCAATTAAAATCAACCTGCTTTTACATAAAGCAAGCCTCTAGTGAGGGTTGACATAATTCAGCTTGTTTATACATAGAAATTTTAAAAATATCATTTTAAAAGCTCCAGAGAAAAGTCACAAGGCAAACAGAAGCTAGACAAACTAAGACTCATTATAGCTACAGGGAGCATGCATGCACGTCACCAAGCAGGATGTTCAAACAAATGCACAATTAGGGCAAACTGGTTACTATCTTATATGATTGTTACTTAATCGTTTGGACAAACACATACACTGTTTTCACGTCAAATGAAATCTGAATTAGCTTATTCATTTCCTAAAGAAATACAAATATAAGTCGTGAATAATCTTATACTAAATCGTTAGCTTCCTTTTGTGTCTCAGATACGTCTTTTTCATAAAGATCATTTTAATGGTATATTCATTTTTTTTTATCATACAAATATGATTTTTCCTCTTGAAGTGCCAAATGAAGTGCTCCAGTTTCAGACTTTTAAGGAGCCTGAATTAAAATAAAGACCCTAATTGAAGTGCTAAACGGCTCTGAGCGCTTGGGGGCGGAAAAAAAGTGCCTGAATTTAGTCAATTTTCTTTCTCCTTTTTCTCAAGAGGTGATTATTTTAGGATCAGTTTGAATTTTTTTTTTAAGTATCTGTCACTTTTTAGCTTTAGTTGGCAACAGGGAAGAAAACCTTAAAAGGTCTGTACGATCGTGTACACAAATAGCATCTTTAAATACTGATAAGAAAAAAGATTTTTCTTCAAAAAACACAAGGCAGAACTTGTTTTTTTCACATTTAAAGAGGAGTCAAAGTGGGGAAACAGGAGCTGGCCTGAGCTCAAAAACACGTCTTTGAACGTCAAATTTTTATACATGCATGGCGCTCAAAACTCTGTGTGTTGACGCATGTGTCTGTATGTTCTATCGTGTGTGTGTCCACATGTGTATTAGAGCTGATTTCCTGAGTTTATGAACACCCGCCGTGACGGGGAGCATTCGATAGGCAGGACAGGAAACAGCAAAGCAAAGATTTTTCCCTTAGAAAAAGGTGCTTGATATAACCCCGGTGAAAAAGAAACATCTAAGCCTCTACCTGTACAAAAATCACTGTTACAGTCATCATGCTCCATACTATGTACATTTCTGCCTAACAAGCACTTGAAAGTCACCATCACAACATCCAAATACAATGGTATTGCTGATGAGTGGGAAATAAAAATAGCCATTTAACCACCTGCAAAAACCTTTTTTTTTTTAACCTTTCAATTCAGTGCTGAGGAAGGCAAAGGAGGAATGTTTTTAGTTACAAAGAAGTTCTCCTGTACAGAAATACAAATGCGAGACGCTTGAAGACATTTTTGCATATGAACATTTTACAGTCTAGCTGCATCCCTCGCGTACAGAAAGCTGTATTCTCATTTGTCATGAATTAGGTTGAACATTCAGAGGATTTGTTTTTCTTTCTTTCCTGAGTTTGAATTGCTGTGACGAAAAGGGCCACTGAGATATCTATTGAGAGAAGAACCACAGACAGAGCGCGAGAAGAGAGAAAGAGGTAGAGTAAAGATTGATAGAGACAGAGTGGGAAATAAAAAATAGCAAATGTGAAAGAAGATAAAAGGCAGGAACAGAGAGACAGAGAGCTGCTGCTGTTTAGGTCCGATGAGGTTTGACTTTGAGTTGTGAACGTTTGGAGAACGGAGCCTCCACTGCTGCCGGGGCGAGTTTAGCACCATTGTAAGGGTTTGGTGAGAAGTTCCCACTCTGTCATGGTAAAAGGAGAATACCTGGAGAACAGTATTGCTGTTAAGACAACTTTAGTGTCAACCGTTCAAAAAAAACCAAAAAAAAACGAAACAGCACAAAAAGACATAAATACAAACAAAGCTTGTTTTTTTTTTTCAGTGAACACTGGCAGAGGCTGACCGTCTCAACAACCCAGAGCGAGGGTTTGTCAGAAGAGTAAAATTAAATAATAAAAAACATCAAAAACAAACACAGAGAACTAATTAGTGCAGTCCTTCCTCGGCTGCTCATCAGTTGTACATTTGTCAGTCATTTCCTGGCAAAAATCCACCGTCACCGCCTGGTTGGACTTGTCCACGGTCAGCCCGGACTTTGTGTACAAGCTGGCGTCCTGGCCGTCCATTTCTCTGTCCGCCCCGTTCCTGACGGCCGATTCGGGCTCGCTCTCAGAGGGGCCTGGTGACCTCGGCTCCGGTGTGGCCGAGCCTGAGTGGGTGGTGAGGTCGATGCTGGTGGTGGTGTTGTTGGTGGTGAGGCTGAGGGGGGCGGGTTTGGGCTGGTGGGCGGCACTGTTGTTGTGGTTGCTGGTAGTGGAGTTGGCAGGCCGCATCACGGGGCAGTAGTGGTTTAAAGACTGGACCTGCTCTGGGCTCAGCTGCACATCCCTGCACACCTCCTGAGACAGGCAGGAGAAGTTCTCCCACAGCTCACCCATACACGCCTTCAGCTGGTTCCTCTCCGTCAGGAGCTTATCCTTCTCATGCACCTGGAACCAAACACACACAGAAAGTGACCAACTTTTCTACAACAGTAGAAAATAAAGCTCCCATTCACTGTGGTGTTGACTGTGTCTTCAGAGACTCTGCTCTCTCTGCCTGCTTTCTGAATTTTTGGTTGACTCGGGATGTTTCTGGGCGGGGAGTGGATGTGTTTCCCCCAGCTAATGACAGCAGGCAGGTGAGTTTGGGAATGGATACAATTCATTGGACGCCATACAAACTGGTGAATTTGGCCTATTTGGACTTAGCAGCAAAGAAGTGAAATACAATCAATGAGGTGAAACGCCACACGGATAAAATTTGTTCCAAAATGAGAATTAACTAAAGGTCGTCTATCCGCAAACACAGAGTTGGCCTGCTGTCTGTTGGACAGGCAGGCCTCAAACACCGGTGGTTAGCTTGTGCTAGCGTGCTAATTGATCAGCTTTTCCATTACAACAAATGTAATCTTCTCAGTTAGCTTACAGTGTAGTACAAGCCTCAAATATACAAGCTAACCCTGCAGTGGGCTTGTGCTTCTGGCGGCCATGAGCCCAGGAGGAGGGGCCCAATTTGAAGGATGCAGTAACAAACTGCAACAAACATTTCTACTGACAACTAATTTAAAGGTCCTATGAAGAACTTTTGGCTTGTGTCGATTTTGGCGACCCCTGTGGGCACAGAGGTACTTCTCTCTCTTCTCTCTTCATCTTGTCCTGTACATGAGGAAGAAGTGTTATGTGACAACAAATCTTGTGCTGCTCTTATTTAACGGTCAAGTATTACACATTGTAAATCTTTGGTGGTAAATGTCTTATGTATGAAAGATACGTCACAAAAATATATTTTTTTGTGTGGCTAGTACGACAAATTGATGAGCTGCAGCTTCCCACTCATGGAGATCAGAGGATCCCCTAGTGGTGGGAATGTGCATCATCACCTCATGTCCAGAGCTTTATTGATTAGGGGTTTATTGCTGTCCCAGGTTCAGAGTGTTTAATGAAAACATGAAGTCTCACAGACAGATGACATCTGGAGGCAGGTATAGTATTAAATAAAAAATGTTGACTCACAAGCTTCCTGATCTCACACTCCAGGTTCATGATGCAGTCCAGCTTCCTCTTGCGGCAGCGCTGCGCGGCGATGCGGTTCTTACTCCGCCGCCTCACGTCATGGATAAACTCGAGCTGCTCCGAGGTCAGTTTGTGCATTTTCACCAACATTTGGAAGTCGTTCCGTGGAAGATTCGTGATTTGATCTACAGGGAAAGGCAGCTTCACCTGGAACAGACAGATTGAAATGTTGTTATTACTGAACATCAATTAAGCCAAATGGTAAATGGACTAGTACTCGTGTAGCGCTTTTCTATTCTTCTGACCAATCAAAACACTTTCATACTACAAGCATGCAGTCTAACTTGCACAAAAACATTGGCTAAATTGTGGTACAAAAATGCTTTAGAATAAAGTTGTTTTTGTTTTTTCTTGAAATAAGAAAATAAGAATGACAAACGCTGAGTTTTTGCTCTGTGACAGCTGCAACAAAAGAGTAGTTTTTGCCTGTTTGATGCAGGAGAGTTATGCATACGACCACAAGATGGCAGTAGAGCACTGCTCCGCACACACCACACAGCGCAGGAGTTAGAGAGCGTCTCAATATCCTCCGCCTCATATTTACCATGAAGCACATTTTCAGTCAGAGGGGAAGACGTGATGCAAGAAAAGACAGAGAGAGAGAGAGAGAGAGAGAGAGAGAGAGAGAGAGTCCGTCAGTCCCTCACACCTGGAAATGTGCCAGGATGACAGATTGAGGGGGCAGTGACTTGCCAACCTGCTCCAAATCAGTGTCAGGTGATTTCTGGGGGCATGAATATCTGTACCGGCAACATTCAGAGCCGTCCTCACAGACTGCAGAACAAAAGAAAGAGTGGAAGAAATGCAGCAGAGATTTGGAGGAGCTGAGACAGTGCGGTGTGAAATGAGAATAAAGGAAATATGAAGGATGCCATGTGTGTTTATTTGCTCAGTTTGGAAAGCAACAATAAGTCAGGCTCTCTCCCCCAGGTGATGGCAAACCTTATGATAAGCACATCACAGGCAGATCCACCCCAGCGGTATCTGTGTGCACCAGGGAGCCGTCGCTTCAGGCGGGGAGTGAAGCAGTGGAGGAATAACAAAGAGCCAGAGGAAGACAGCCGGAGAGCTTGGCAGAGATGAGAGGAGCTGCAGCTCTCTTCCTCCTCTCCTCTCTCCACTCTTCCTCCCCGTGGCTGCCTCTGGAAGAACAAAGTCAAACAAAGGAGGAAGAGAGGGAGAAAGAGGAGCAAACGATGTGACTCCACGGTGTACCTGGCTGCTCGACGCTCCCAGGAGGCCCTGAGCCGGCAGACGCTGCAGCAGAGGCAGCTCGGCTCTGTGTGAGCAGCAGACGGTTCACAGGGTGGCTGTGGCGTCACCTGGTACGAGCGCAGCTCTCATGGGGATAAAACAAGGTGCCTACTTATGACAGAACTGGAATGACTCTGACACTGAGGGGCAAATCTAGATGTCAATCTATCCTTGAAAGAGTAAAATGGCTTGAGTTTCCTCATTAGAGACTCAGCCCTCTGAGCCGCCAGGAGCCCTCTCTCTCATCTCGGTCTCGACATCTGCATGCAGACGCATGAATAAATGATGGCCCGAGCTTTCAAGGCCACACTCTGCTCTCGCTGCTCTGCCGGGGCATGACAGCTCCAGCCTCAAAAGAGAGGTGCGGGGGAAGCTATAAAACATCAGTGCGAGCTGCCAGCTTCGTCTACAGCAGAGCAGGAGATGACTCTGTTTGTGATCACACCGGCTTGTGTACTGTCGTGAGCAGAGGTTTCAGAAGTATGAGCACTCACTCCACAGGATCTGAACGCAATGGGGAAGGAGACGCCGCGACCTTGTGATGGTTTCTCTCCCCCCTCTCTTCCACCAGTCACCGGGACGCAGGGGACGGCTAAATTTAGCTGCTCCACTATGAGAAACCAGTTCAGCAGCAGAGCTGGGATGACAGAGTACGCTTCACTGGTGGTCATAAATTCACAGCCAACTGTTCTGGATTTAACATTTCTCTTTCAATTCCTCCTCCTCAGTCTCTCACTCTCTCGCTCTCTCTCTCTCTCTCTGGGTCATTATCTGTAAATGGGGGACAGAGAGAAAAGTAGGACTCGTCTGTCATCAGGACCAGAGCCATGCTGGGTCTCAGCTCTGACACTGAGCACTGCTAAAACAAATAAGCCGTATTTCACAGTCTCAAAAGCAGGCGGAAGGAGCTATTTATTACAAGAGGATATCAAGTCAAGTTATAAATATATAATTTCTAATGCTGTTTCTCTTTACAGCTTGAGTCTAGTTGCATCTGTTAGGTCTTCTGGCTCTTCCTGTTTTTTGTTCCTGTAGATTTCTAAAGTAATATCAGGCACAATGTTAATATCATACTAGGAATAATAAAATATAAGTCAACTGTAGCACAGTTAAATGTACATCATGACAGGAGCAGTCTGATATTTTATGAAATATCCGTATTCCTGTTTCAATCACACAAGAAAATCTTTATTTTTAATAACTTTTTAAATGTTTCCCTCTATCTTATTGCCGTTTTCATTTGTCACAGAGTACTGATGTCTCGCGTAAAGAACTTCAAATCGCCTTGTTGCTTAAACGTGTACATTATTTAACTTGCCTTTGAAAACACAGAAAAAGAGTGACTTGCTTCAACGTCTCAAGACATTCAGCTGGGGTAGCCTGCAGCAGGTGGAGACCTCAGGTGAGTGGTGAACTCGATGGATGACCCCGACTTGAAGGGGTCACTGCATGTGATCAGCTGCAGTCGTTTACACACAAGTTCTGTTTTTTGACCTTAAAGCTAATGAATGCCTCCTGCCTGACGTCCTCTGTCCGTGTTTCTCTTAACGAATCCAAACTAAACTGAGATCGTAACTTTGTCTCCGTGATTGATTGTCTCTGCTCATTTGTGTTTCATGCTCTCTGTAATCTACCAAGGGACATCTCACATGGCTGTAAATGGGATTATAAAGCAGAACCTCACACACACACACACACACACACACACACACACACACACACACACATACACGCAGAGCCTGACTATAATGAAGATCATGTTGGGAGGTCCAGAACTTACTGTTCTGTCCTGGGGTAAAAGTAATAACAGTTTTCAAAAATGATTTATTCACGTCAGATGCACTTATCGTTTGTCAGGTCATAAGAACGACATAAAAAAAAGCGTAATTCGGAAAAAAGTATCGGAAAAAAGTAAGAATATCTGAAAGAACCAAGTCAGTTGATCAATAACTGGAAAATAAATGAGAAAAATAAATACATGTGGAATATTTAATGCAGTCAACAAAAAACAAAATTATTAATTTCTTAGTTTTCTATGGCAGCCCCAAGCGGACAGGCATCCATAAATTTCCGGGTTTTTTTTTGGGACCTCAACTTATTCATGTTGTTATATCATATAAAAGCCATGATGCTTGTCCAACGATAAGTTATTTTCTCCAGAGCTTGATAACAATCTAATCTCACAAATTTTGTTAGACACATGAATTAACTGCGTAGCTTCTGAAAGTTGAAATCTCGACTGGTTAATGTTTGATGTTCAGCGTAGTTACCCTGATTTAAAAACATAAACGCATCGAGATTTCAACTTTCAGAAGCTATGCAGTTAATCTATGTGATGGGACTGACAATAATGATGATGATTTTGAGGATGGTGCTGATGTTGATTAGAATTCTAAGAAGCTGTCAATGTTGTTGATGATGATAAAATTATATAAATAAATAAAAAAAACTCTCTGTCAGCACCTGTGTCTAATCAGACTTGAAGTTACTAAGTGTCAAAATGAATTAAAGATTTTTAGAATTGTAGAGATCTTAAGAAACCAACTGAAATATTCTCACACTTTTACTGAGTAACATAAAGTTTATGGGTGCCTGTCCTCTTCTTCTACTTCTGTAGTTTTCACTCAGAAGCTGTTGTCTGGCCCTCCCAGGGTGTTGTGGGACTAACTGAACAGGGCGCCGTTGTGAGGGGGAAGAGGTGGTTCCCCCTTGGTTTCTGGGAATTTTCATGCAAGATACCCCTCACAGCACCGGGCGCCGGGGCTGCTGCTGCGACGAAGCCAAAATCAACACCGTGGGAATCTCACAGATTAGCAGGGCAAGGTAGCTGGATGCTAAATGTCTTCCTACCACAGGCCCTGAAAAGGAATAGAAGCGTTTCTGTGCCTCTGTTTGTTTCCCCATATTTGTCCCGCTCCGCTCAGTGCTGCAGAGCGATGCAGCGTTTGCCCCAGGGGCGATTTGGGGGTAATGAAGAGAGACTGAATCTCATTACCTTGATACTACAGTTTTTGTACATGAATCCAGTTAAATAAATATAGATTTCAAAGTAAAATGCTTTGGTAAACAGAACTCCTCTTGCTCAATCTGAGCAAGTTTCCCTCTGCGTACTCGGCAGGGTACAAACTACGGCCCCCTGTGGTGCCATAAGTACAATTTTCATATGCATCTCCATCATTAAATATAGACTTAAGAGGGAAATGATTGTGCAAACATACCCCTTTTTTTAAAACATGAACAAGTCTCCTTCCACATCATACAGTGTGCACACTCGTTCTTGTGGTTTGGTTTCTATAGCGACTGCACCAAGACCTCAGCTACAATAACAGCCAAATATTTGATGCAATACTAACATGGCTTACTGATAATTTCTTCCTCGACTCACACTGATACATGTTGCTGTAACAAATTACCCAGTGCCCTGGCATGAAATAGTTACATCACCTGAAAAAGGCTCTGACTTCTGCATGGTATTATCAGTATTGGATGTGACTAAAACGAGTAAATATCTCTGCTGCTAACATTATGAATGGTGAATGAGACTCTGACCACAGCCACATCATATCTAGAGTAGAGAAAAGGTTCTTGTGCTTTGTGCAAATGTAGCAGAACTGATATTAACGTCTGTGCACTTCCTGTCACATGTTCTTACTATTTCATGTTTCGCCTGATTAAAAAAAACACAGAAAAAAAACATAATGTGCTGATACATCAGGACTACTTCCTCATTCCTCCCACTCGCTCTGAGATCAATATTTGAAGTGCTGTGGCCAGACGCTACGCTAGAATGAGCTCAACGCCTACACTGACACCAGGAGCAGGAGCTCTGGGAGAGAGAGAAAGAGAGAGAGAGAGAGAGACAGGCTGAGCTACAAATGGTTCTACATGTGTAG